GGTTCTGTGGGCTGGGCTTGGTGGATGTGACATGGTTTGGTGGGCATGGCAGGGAAAGGTTACTGCAAAATCCCCATTCCCTCCTGATCAGCTGAGACTCGGGAAGCAGAGAATAGATGGGGGCGGGGCCAGTCAGAGGAGGTATTTACTGGGCTCAAAGAGAATGAAGGTCCAAACAAATATCTTCTTGTAGGCTTATGGAGTCTCCATTTCATATTCCTTGCACCTGTACACATACATGCATATGCACACACAAACTATGTCTCTAAAATCAGTAAAGGAATAATTTAATTCAAAATGACAAATAGAAGTGATTTCTCCATTTAGAATTTGTTGTTGAACAAAGTATTTCACTTTAATAATTGAATGTTAAAGCAAACTCCTACTCTCAAACATATTAAATTGAAGGGCATCTAATTATCTTTTATTATCAGAGTTTATATCAGGAGGAAGACAGAGGGGTGGGTCCCTAATTGCCTATTGGTTTTTAACAGATTTGTTTGGACCTTCATTCTCTTTGAGCCCAGTAAATACCTCCTCTGACTGGCCCCGCCCCCATCTATTCTCTGCTTCCCGAGTCTCAGCTGATCAGGAGGGAATGGGGATTTTGCAGTAACCTTTCCCTGCCATGCCCACCAAACCATGTCACATCCACCAAGCCCAGCCCACAGAACCGGTAGTAAAAATGTTTGAATCCCACCACTGATGTAAACTACTTCATCCCTCCAATTCATCTTATTATGTGGTTGGTCTATTGGAGTCTGAGCAATGTAGGTAACTTTATATTTACCAGCCTAGGTACTGTTATTGGTAAAAGGGTTTGTTAGAATTTTATCCTCAGTTGTATCTGTGGGTAGAAATGGTGGAAGTATCAACTGGCTTTGCAGAGTCCTGCATTTCTTTTTTTTTATGTAATATTTTTTTTTACTAATGCTTGAATGAGCCGGAGGTTCATTCAACACTTATGAATAATTATATTGTCTCCCCACACTATGCCATTGATAGACTTTTCCCAATGAATGGGTAAAATTAGGCAATTATCCCATTCAATGGGTTGAATATTCTAGCATTTTTCAGATATTATATTATATTAGTGTATCACATTATAAAAAGGCTGAACATAAAGAAGGAAAAGATTCCTTGTGTGAAACATAATCCTTCATGTAAGTATTACTGTTGCACAGCCCCCCCTTCTAATTAGCTTTATCATCAGCACTAATAGGACACTTGTCCCTAAAGACTATTCCTACTGTGATTCCAGATGGCCCTCTGAATTCTCAGAAGCTTTGCTGCCATGATAAATGACAGATGCAAGAGCTATAATTCGGTTTCAAGTCCAATAATGTTAGTTATGATGAAATAGCTAGTTGGATAGTGGTAAAGAATTACAAAGCCATAGCTTTCAGTACCGACATAAGAAGCTCAATGCAATGAAAGCAAGCTAACCAATCAGCAGATTGTTCTCTCTCTGGGACAGCTTTGCAATAGAATTTGCAAAATACCTCTTTGCAATTCTGCCATATTTCTAAAACAGATTTGATTCAAGAGTGAAAGAGGAGGGAAGTACCCTATGGTTGCTCACATTTAGAAGAGAAGTGCAGAGGATGGTAAAATATCAAATCAAATTGGCTCAGAACACTCTACAATAAAAAAATAATCTTAATCCTAACATTAATAAAACTAAAGAGTTTTAGCTTAGGAGATCACCAAAATTTGTAATTGTTTTGAATGTAGGTAGGATGAATGGCACAAAATCAAACAACATCAATCCTGATCTGACAGAAATGATGAGAAATAAGCACTGTCCTCTTTCCCAGGTTAGTTCTTGGAAATGGGATAAATAAAGATCTTCCAAAATTCTCTCTAAAGAGAAAAAAAAGGAGCACATGGTTTGGCCATTTCCATATATAGACATAAAAACTATTAAAAAAGAATAATGTTTTTCTACCAACCCCACTGAACCACAGAGGGCAGGGCAACTAACTTAGCCATGAGGAAGGCCCAACAAAATTGGAATTGGAAAGAGCAAGAAGTTGATAGCACATGGTAAAATCTATAGACATTAATGTAGAATCTAGAACCCATCAAACTTTCTTCTGCATCATCACAACAGTGGGCTTGAATCCCATAAGAATCTCCCCTTCACCAAATTTGGCACTTCTAAATATTCCTTCTCTACTCCCGCTCAACTTTTAGAATCACAAAAGACCTCTTTTTCCTTTTTCAATGAAATATACAACCACGATTATAAACAGCATTTATAACTCCACCCTTCAGAAGCAACTCCCTCTTTCCTCAGTTGCCTGAGAATGTTTTTTTTTTAACTTCTTGTTCCTTTTGGAACAGAGGGAAGCAAGTAGTAACAAACAGTTCCTGAAAAAAAAACTTTGAGAATGCCTCTTCTACTACTGTACATGGCCCAGGCTTGTTTGTTTCACTTCAAGGTTATCTGACTGAGAAGCAGGAAGAGGAACCTGGAAGTGGAAGTCATGTTCTTGACAAAGCAATGGGTGACTTGGATGTGTTAGCAGAACAGGAAGTGCTGT